ATATATATATATATGTATTTGAGAGGCCTAAACATCCCTGTTGTTTAGGTTTGTGAGAGAAAACCAGAGTACCAAAAAAAAAACCACCCAGACATGAGGAGAACCTGCAAACTCCACACAGAAAGTACCCAGGCCTAAACCAGAGCTTGAACCAATGACCTTCATGCTGTGTGGCTTTGCTCATTTCACTGATTTTTGTGATGATTTTTCTTTTACTGACCAAGCACATCAATATTACATAAAGTCAGCTATAAAAGAAAACTCCTTGTCTCTCATGTTACTGATTAATGATGTTTTGAAGGTATATTATGAAGAAAATTTTGATTAGCACGTTTGCCTATTCTGTAATTTGTGAGTTGAAAAATTAAGGTAGAGGTTGAACAACATCATGTTGCCACACTGTGGCTGAAATAAATAGTTTTGAAGTATAATTTTCCAAAAAACTAAAAAAATAAATAAATGAATTTTTAAAAATCACATTTGTCTCATATTACAAAAATGACAATGAAAGTATTTTAGGAAACTTTCAATGTAATGTATTTACACTTTGAAAACAAGGGAATACAGTAAAAAAATGTGAAATTTTTTCTAAATAATAATGTCAGTTTGTAAATCTCATTACAATAAAAAGGTCATTCAAGTATTGAAGTCATTCAGGACATTGCAAACTTTGACTTTATTACAAAAACATTCTGCACAAAATATTTAAGGTATGAAACAAACAAACAGAAAAAAATAAAATCTTATATACAGTATTATACGCTGCCACAACTTCCCTTTTGTAAAAAATTGTGGACAAGTTGTGACCGTTTTGGTTCTTGTGGATGTTGTTCTTCACTCCAGGCCATTCCTCGCAGCGTCATGAGTGAAACAGCAGTCACCAGGATCAGAGAACTGAGGATGAAGGAAGCTGCACTGAGGAAGAAGGTTGATGCATAATTTCCTGTTTGGTCTACTAACCAACCTGAAGAAAAAAGAAGAGAAATGTGCTGTCTGTTTTTTTTTACATGACAAGCAGCTTTGATGGTTTCCTCACTTTATGCTTGTAATAGTGTACAAATATCTAAGGAAAAAATTGACATTTAGGTGAATGAACACAAAGTAGATTTATAGCTCTGTGAACAAATATTCCAAAATAAAGCTTTTATTTTTATGCAAAAAGACTAATTTTACATAGCAATGGCAATACACAAAACAGGTGAAACAGTATGTTTCTGGTACTAACATAACACATCTGTACTTAGATGGTATGTGCAGAGTACACATGTGGTACATAAAAGGAACAGTTGGTATTTTGAAGTGAACTATTACCCAGTAATTACCAGGTATGCACCTGGTATATACTAGTTAGTAACAGGTACATACACTAATATTTATTGAACCTATTTTATTTTTGGACAAAGGGATAAATAAATATAATATCAAACATAATAAATATTTTTTAATATTTTTATTTTATTGTATTTTTTGTGTATTTTGTTTTGGGGGATCCATTATGAATAGCAAGGTGAGGCAAAGCAAGCCATTTGGCTTCTGCCTCTACCTATTTGGTCATTTAGGGTTAAAGTTTTGTTTGTTTTTGTGAGGAGTGTTCTTTAATGTGACCAAATAAAATCATTCATTCATTCATTCATTCATTCATTCATTCATTCATTCATTCATTCATTCATTCATGTAGTTGAAGTATATGTGTGTTTTTTGTGTATTTTGTTTTGGGGAATCCCATTATGATTTGCAAGGTGAGGCAAAACAAGCCATTGGCTTCTGNTGTGAGGAGTGTTCTTTAATGTGACCAAATAAAATCATTCATTCATTCATTCATTCATTCATTCATTCATTCATTCATTCATTCATTCATTCATTCAAATAAAAAAATAAAAAAATAAATAAATAACCTCCAACCTCTCCTTACTTATTTTTGTCCTTAAAAATATCAAGAACATGCCTTCAAACACTGCAGCATCTGGTTCATGAATGCTTACCTCCAATCGGTGGGCTGACTAAATATGGGACAGCATGCAGGAAGTAAACCACACCCAAGGCGGACGTAAGATGGGAGGAGCCTACAGCGTCAGAGGTCACGACTGGTATTAGTGCCACATACGCCCCATCAAAGTACCCATAGAGCGTGGAAAATGGAACCAGGAGTGAGAAGGAATGAAGGAAAGGGAGAGCTATACAACAAAGGCCCTCCATGACTATTGCCAAAATGTAGCTCAGGATGCGATATCTCTTCAGACACCTGGAAACAAAATCATTTATCACTGTGATGCTTCAGTTTAATATATGTCCATTATTAAAAAAAAGATAAACCTCCATTTTTTTTACTTACTTTCTGTCTGTGATCCATCCAAAAGTGATGTTGCCAACAATTCCACTGACCCCAAATAAAGACATGAGGAAGGCTGCAAGTTGATGCTTGACTCCCACACTCAGGGCATAAGGAACGAGGTAAACTACTGGAGCGCTACAACCATATGCCAGAAACAGGAAGGACACCGACAGGATCAAGAAGTTGGGTATCACAAAGAAGCCAAACTCCTCCTTGAACTTGAGACAAAAACGCTGACATCTGGACAACGGCGGTGAGTTCACCAAAGGTTCAGTAGAAACCGTTTCATCAATGTCATCTATTGAGTTTGCTTCATTCAAATCTAAATGTTGTCTTTTTAAATTAGTAGCTACTAATGTATTGTTTGAGTTGATGCTTTCCACCAGCTGTAAGTCATTGATCAGGGTGCCATTTTGATCCAATTTTTCCATTCCTCCTAACATTGTTTCCATTTTATTGCTAAACAGAATGCATTCATTCATCCTCTTATCTGAGTTCCTTTTATCAGGCAGCTCCGGGTTTGGTAGTAGAGTTATGTTCCTCTGAAGTCTGGTGTTTTCATATCCAAAACTTGGAAATGTTCCAATGGCAATGACAAGGTCAAGCGTGTCCTTTAGGTTGTGTACTTTCTGCTGTTTTGGCGTAACTTGGCTGCAGTCAGCAGTTACTGGTTCAGTAAATTCAGATTCCAGAACAGCTGTCGTACGGGCTTTTACCACATTTTCCAGGCTGTTCTTCCACATCCTGCAGAAAAACCAGAACAAGATACAATTATATTTAAACTTTTTATAACTTCTTACTTCATACCAGACTGCAGATGCATCATTATCATTGCAATAATAAAAAAAAAGTCACAAAAGTTGAGCATATTGTTGTAAATAATTACACACATTCACTGTTATATTCCATCAGTCTTCATGCTGTGCTTGATACGTACCGTTTCAGGTTATAATTTCCTTCGTTTTAGCAATGATTCAGCATTTTCTTTGATAAATTATATAAATAAAGCAGTGAAGCTCTTTTCTTTAGAATTTGGTTTGTGTAGTATAAGTTTATTTAGTAGTTTCCTGTTAACTGTATTAGTGAGCAGCTAGCTCCACCTGTTGGCTAAATCAACAATGGCCAAAGTTTACTGCAGACAGATGAAAGGAAATTTTCACAATGTTAAATTTTATCTTTTTTAATGTACACCTAGGACCATAACACCTGAATGTACAAAACAGATCCATTTGGTCATTTTGATTAACAATACTAGAATGTTTCTTCATTCAGTTTCTATTTAATCTAAAATACACAAGGAAAGGTTAGGTTTCTGTTTGACTGAAAAAGAAAGAAGTGGTTACAGCTAATGGATGGACGATTATGCTTGATGTTAAGATAAAAACTTATTAAAGGACTGATAATAGTCACATTTCCTAAAGCTAAAAATCTAAACTACAGTATAAATCAAAAGTAATAAATGTATTTCTTTTTGCACTACACTAAAAGTTGGAAAACAACAGACTTGATAGTCTTGAGGTATTTTTCACTACAATAATAGACTGACCTTTCAGTGTTTTTTTGTTCCAGTGGCCTCATCAGAGCTCCACAAACACACAGGTTGGAAACAAACCCCCCAAGGATGAGCATTGCCCCTCTCCAAGAGTAATGTTCAATCAGCAGCTGAACTGCAGGAGCCAGAAGGAAGGTCCCGATGCCGCTGCCTGGAGACGAGGCAAAGCCAGGTTGGATGGGACGGCATGAGAGAGGAGAGGAAAAATAAAAACACAAGAAAAAAATGATGGGAAATAAACTTTAAAATAGACTGAAGAAAAGCAATGAGTTGTGAGTTGGAAGAAAAAGTGAGAGCAGAAACAAGTTAACATTAGAATAAAAAAAGAAGACCAAAAGTAAAATCAGTACCAGACATAGATATGCCATACGCCAGAGTTTTCCTCTCATTGAAGTAGCTTCCAACCATCGCTATGGCTGGTGTGTAGCTGAGAGCAAAGCCAAGACCTGTTGAGGGGTTTTTTAGTAAACGTGAGGAATTTTCTTTTCTTTTTGTTTAAACTGCATCAGGTCAGTTATCATCTTGAAATGATTTTGGAACCAAGCAAGTTAGCTCCAACTTTATAGAAGGTGACAAACAATTAGGGCCGGTTTCTCGTACTGTAGGGGTCTCCAACCTTTTTTTCCTTAAGAGCTACTTCACTATTTCACACTAACTTAGGGTTTAACTGCAACAGATTTGTGCACAAATAATGCCGGATGATGGGTCTCCGATTTTTTTTTTCCCGCAATCTGCGGGAAGAAGCCCCCTGTAGTGACATGTACCGCAGCGGGAGGGGCTTCCCAGGAATTTAGCACAGTGTGTCTCAAGGGGCTATGAAAGGTGTGTGCGAAAATGAATGCCGAACAACCTTGTGACCGTGCCTCATCAATCTTCTTTCTTAGAGGAAGACTAGAGCTAATCCAGGTCTAAATGTAGACTTAAATTAAACCTGGCCAGAAGCAGGTTTAACTTTAGATTAAAGGCTGTATGCTTCACTGTGGATGGGGAAAATGGATTATCTTGACTGTACTATACTACATCAATGATGCTGTAAGACCACCACAAAGACCAGAAAGGAGATTTCTCTGAGACAGAAGCAACCAGCTGACTGAATTTGATGATACAGATTTCTCTGACTGTTTTTGTATATACAAAAACACTGCAGCTGAAATAATTAGTTTGTTTCAGCCAATGATAAAACAGGACATGCTTATAGAAACAACTTTGCTGTGCAGCACTTTTTATGAAGATAAAGAAGCTGGAAACAGTTGAGTGATCCACAAGTTGTCAGTTTCATTTTGTTTGACTACATTTATCATTTTGCAAATAGTTAAGAGTATAAAATATGGTTTATTCTTGAATAAATTTTGGTTGAATCATGATTGTTATGGAATATTTTTTTATTTCATAATGACACAAGGTCAACAGAGGCACAGTTAGAAAAAACAGAAGTTTTGCTGCTGCTTCATGTCTCTCTCCTTCTTTTTGACTGACAACTCCACTTGAAGGATCTTCATCTTCAGTTCATGTTCTTCTTTTAGATTGCAATTTGTGCTCATGAAACTCTATAGCAAGTTTTTCATGAATAGTCAGCCTTTTCCCTCTTGCTGTGCTGCCTGGGATGGAGATACAGTACTGGCTGCTGCCACCGGTGCAGAGACTGTTCTGGCTCCTCCCACATCTGATTCAAGCTTTGGTCATCTTTTTTTCTACAGAGAATTGCAATACAGGACATGAGATTAATAGTATTTTTCATTTTTATACATAGTGTAATAAATGGTACTAGCTTGCCTTAGCAGAACAATAAATACACACAGGCACACACATTGTAACAAAGAGTGTTGAAGCGTTTCCCCACCTGAACTGTCCAGATGATCATCTGGCATGCCTTCAAATGGTTGTTGATTTTCAATCATCCAGTCAACATATCCCCCAGGTCATCGCTCTGTGGTCTAACTGGGGGTCCCCCACCTGTACTGAAATGCTCCCTACGAGCAATGGCTGCTGTTTTCTTCAGCTGTATTTTGATGTTGCAATATACGGCCTCATATGAGCAAACATACATTTCATTCTGAGTACTTAGAAGAATCTGTGTACTGTAAATAAAATAATTAAATCTTGCCTAAATCTGTTGGAGGGTCCTGTTGGTAACTTTTTCATTTGAGTTATATTTATTCACAACTGCAGTCCATGTGTTTCATTTTTTTTATTTCTGTCGTTGAATCATGATGTTAGTCCTCAATTATGGGATGTTTAGAAATAATTTCCATCAAAAGTATCTTCTCATTTTCACTGAAGTTTTTTGAACACTTTTTTTTTTATTTATCCATGCTTAGTCAGAAATCAAACTCCTGTTCCGTACACACAGACTGCTAAAATGTATAATAGGAAAGTTCCACCCCAGGTTTTCAGAGCAACCTCACCATTGCACCATGTGCAGATTGTTAATCTAATTCAGTTTCCAACACATGATCTGTCTAATCCTTGATTACCTTAGTCAGAGACTCTGTAGTCTGGAACTAGTTAATCTGAAGTTAAATGTCTCAGAAAGCAGATGGATTAGTGTGGATTAAGTTAGACCAGATTAGTTTAGTCCTGGTTTTATTTAAGCCCTGAGTGCGAAACCGGCCCTTAGTGTTTACGTGTTTGTTTATACCTGTAATTACTCCCAGAGAGATGTAGAGGAATTCCAGACTGGTGGCGAAAGAGCTGAGGACCAGCCCAACAGAGGACAGAAGCCCCCCCAAAAAGACTGTTGCTCTGCAGGACAGACGGTTGCCAAGAAAACTACCAAGAGGAGCTTGAAATACAGATTGTGTGGATTAGATATAATCTGATATAATAACTGTTTTCCATCTATCCCACTGAGTTTGCAATCACATTTCACAAAGTACAATTTGATCTAAGAGTAGTCAGAACTATATTGCTTTTCTTTTTATTGACCTAAAATGATTCGATTTTATTCATGAGTCAGTGCTGATCAGAGTAATTGCTGGCAAAATCTGGAGAGTTGCATTTCTTACCACATAGCATGGTGGTGGAGTCAGTCATGCTGTGGATCCAAGCCGTGGAGGCGTAATCCTTCTCAAAATGCATCTGGAACTCCACAAAAAACATGGAGATGCATCTGGATGGAGAGAGCAGAGCAGAGGTCCAATTCAGTGTCTTCTGTGTTTTTCCGTGACACACAAGCATTAAATCTTTGTCAAAATCTTTTTTAAGTTGACAACGAAAATAGTTTTATTATCTTTAAAAGTCAAGAAAACAAAAATATTTCTATTTTTCTAAATAATAATTATTCAAAGTGGTGGCCAACGTAAGAGAATATTTTATACTATTACGGTTTGTTCGCCCTTCTTTCAGGGAATGAGAAGCTGTACCCTTTGCAGTAAAGATTTAGCTCTGATTGAGGGTTGCTTCCATGTCAGGAGCGACAAACTAAAGCAGAATGAGATTTTCATCATTTCATGTTTGCTGCTCTTATCTAGTAATCTGTTGGGTCTGAACTCAGTGGCCTGGTTTTTATGACAGTTGTTGACTGTTGTATAATGTTAGAGAACACTCCCTGCCCTTCTGACAAAGGGCATACAAAGAATATGTGCTGAGTGGTTTACAAACAGTAAAATCGGCCCGATACTAACGATATGAAACAGCATGCAGTGCTAATGTTGTCTCCCTTTATTGTGCCACAAAGAATGTTGTGCATGTAAACGTTTTGCAAAGTTAAAATCCCCAATGTCTGCATCAGAATGCATTCTTCCATACAAAAGTGGCAGCTTCTCTACTGTCTGGAAATATGGCCTCCTGTGTACTACATATACAGTAGGGGTGCAACAATACATGTACCCGTATCGAACAGTATCGAACAGTGATTTAGGTTCAATACACACTTGTATCGAACAATACAGATTTTTAAAATTTACTTTATCAGCTTGTCTTCTGAAGATGCTCTGTGTTAAAGGATCAGTGGATCTGTGTTCGACTACTCCACCTGGGCTGCATTTTTCAGCGCAGATCCACTGAGAAACTTGCTGTTTCAGCAACATTTAATTAAAAACAGTACTTTTGAGGTTAAACAAATGTTCATAATTAATTTAAATAAATTACAAGTTAAAATGGGCAGGGAAATTTCTTTTTTTTGTATCGAAAAAATATCGAACCGTGAGACTAAAGTATGGAACCGAACCTAATTGTGAATTTTCTGTATCGTTGCACCCTTACTATACAGGTACATTAATGTCATAATACCTGCTTTGTGGTTGACTAGTCAAACAAATGATGAGGATTTGGTTGAGTTTGACCAGTCAAAAGAAGAGTTGGCCATGTGGACTGGGGAACAAAGAAAAATAAAGGCCAGGAATTTCAAATGTTCAGTACAAACTACTCAAAGAAGTAACATTTTTCTTGATCTTTGAAGAGTTGTTTGGGAGTGTAGAGTACATCAAAACAGAAAAAAAGAGCTTAGTTCATCTCAAGTTATGACCACAACAGCTCTGAATAAATTCCTGAAATTCTTGTTAAATTTGTACAAAGAAACAACCAGTTTTTAATAATTTAAATAGAATTATTATGATATTTTTGATTAAGAGTACACACTTTCTCTTAATGGTTAGTCAAAGGACAGACTAGCCATCGGAGGTACAATTATTTTAAACTTGTGCATAAATATATTTAGGATATATTTTTTTCAAAGGTGGACTGTTTTGGTTAATTCCAATATAAAGTGAAACCCACAGAGACAGTCAGTACCTGGTCACTGCACGTATGCAGATGGTGGCGAGGAAACACCCAGCAACTATCATCCAACCCCAGCCACCCTCTGGTGCTTTCATGACTCCAGACATCCTTCTGCCTCCCTCAAGCTTCTCCTCCTTGGTATCTGCCATCACGTCAGCTCCGCTCTTCAGTCGTCTCAGTCTGTCGATGAATGCAGTGCACGTTTCATTGATGGTCTTAAATTCCTTGCAGATCTTTATGGCCTTTGGCTCCTTCTTTGTGCACTGTCTTCCATCTCGACTTCCTCGGTCACTGTAAAAATCACAAACAGTAGTGAACATTTTTACTTGCTCTGCTTGACTCATTATGCTGGAACCATGAATCTTTTTGCAGATGATGTGGTTCTGTTGTTGTCTTCAGGCCATGCGCTGGGCCAGTTCCGACAAACGGTGAAGCAACTGGGATCACAATGAACTCACCTCAAAATTTGCCTCCTCAGAGATGGGTACGGACACGGGACTAAGGAGACTCCTCCTTCTGACAAAATTCCCATTCTGGGTCAACAGTTTGCCACTCAAACAAGCATAGCCTGGGATGTTTTCCTTTTCTGTCACTGAATGGTTTGACAGAACTTCCTTGAGGTCAACCAAATATTCTTCATTAGCCTCTTCGTTGGCAGAGATTTTGCTTTTGCATGGAGCCACAACTGGGTGAGGACAGGGCCAATACTTGGCAGCGTAGATTTATCTTAGTTGCAGCAAAAGTGTTTATATTTAGAATTTTCTTTGTTTGATCTAGTTGTGTGTCTGGCCCTAATGCAGGGGTGTCAAACTCCAGTCCTCGAGGGCCGCTATCCTGCACGTTTTAGAGGTTTTCCAGCTCCAACACACCTGATTCAGTGATTGAATTAACTCTTCAAATTGGGCAGAAGCCTGTTAATTACCCAGCGATCAAAATCAGGTGTGTTGGAGCAAGAAAACCTCTAAAACATGCAGGATAGCGGCCCTCGAGGACTGGAGTTTGACACCCCTGCCCTAATGGATTTGTGAGCTGTCCAGTTCTTGCACCATGATGACTGGAAATAGACACCAGCTCTCCTGTGACCCTGAAAGGAAAACTGAGTACAGAAAATGGATAATTGATGGATGTTTGATCTAAAGAAACGTAACTAACAACTAAATATTCAATTTTTTAATTCAATAAGAACCAATTTAATGCCTAAAATCCAATAAAACAGCAAGTAAAAAGAAGTTTTTGTCATGATTCTTGTTTTATGGTTCTTTATGTTAGAATAGACTGTTTTATTGTTTGGTGCTCTTGTGTTTTACTTTCTCTTTTCCTGTTTCTCTGTTTCCTGTGTCATGTTATCCTCAGTCAGCTTCTTGGTGTTTTTCCAACCTGCCACTCTCACCTGTCCACAGCCTGCAATCATCCAGGTGCTTCCACTCCCCAATCATCCTCATCCTTAACCTGTCTCATTTCCATTCCCTGATATCATGCACCAAGCCTTGTTTGTTTTCATGTTTCTCCTCATTATCTTTTACTGCCTTGTCAGCATTTTATTTTATTTTATTATTTAATAAATCAGTTTTTGATTTCACCTTCACACACTTGTGTCAGCTTGCATTTTGGGTTCCACCATTTACAATCCGGAAAGTTTTAAATTATTTATATCAAAAGCTTGAACACACCTCCTCATTCATTTTTTTCCCTACAATGTAAATTAATACTGAAGTCATTCATACTATAAGGGAGCACAAATTTGATATTTTTCTAAGTCGACACCCTTTGTTTTGATTACAGCTGTGTACTCAATTGGCTTTTTCTCAATCAGCTTCATGTGGTAAATATAAAAGATTTTGCCAATAGCTGCCTGTCTTAGCTTTTATTATTCCGACATTCATTGCCCTTCAATTTGATCTGGGCTTTATCCTCATACTCTACATGATGTAATACAAACTTTTAAATTTCTTCACTTTTTGGTTGTGTTTCTGCAGCAGGTGTCATAGTCTGGATGACTTCAGCATTAATTTACAATGTAGGGAAAAAAAAAAAGTAAAAACATTGGATGAAGCGTGTCTGACCTTTTGACTGGTGTTTATAAAAAGAACAAGAACAGCCACTTTCAGTGGTGGGTGATAAAGAAAGGTTATCAGTGTTTTGAAATGTTCGGTTTTCTCTGTTCAAAGGTTTCTGTGCAGTTTATTCTGCTTTGTCATTAGTTTGCACAAAGGCTTATCTATAAAGTGACAGGTTATTCAGTTTGGTTATGCATGTTGACTTGGCAGCATTGAAAATCCCTTCTGTCACTGACAGTAAGCCATGAAACAGTAAAAACACATTTTTATTCAGAACCACTGAAAATGTCTTATTTGTTTTTAATGACATAACAGCACAGTTTTGTTTCTGGTTGCTCCCTTCTTCAGGAGTTGTAATTAAACTCATAAATTTGGCTTTTTTTTTTTTTACACTGGATGGCCCTCCTGATGCAACAACAGGATTATGAGACCACTGAGCTATTGCAACCTTATGGCAGTATGATGTAAACTTTGCTTCTTTTAAAAACTGTAAATAATCTCTTCTCAGCTTAGTGAGTGCTGATTACAAAAGTATCATGCACACATGTGCCTAAACATGTTTTTCCAGTTTAACTATGCACAGTTGTTGCAATACACTGAATACAATCTTGTAATTTTTTATGAAGTAGAACTATAAGCAAACTCAAAGGGAAAAACAAGCAAGATGCACAGGAAAAGTAATTACTTACATTAGCCCACAAGTATTGCTGCTGTTGCTGCTTTGAGTCTCAGCTTCATAACTCAAATGTTCCTCAGGTAAAATGAAACAAAGAAGTTTGATCTGCTGTCCCGATGTCCTGCAAACACCATCACGGTGATTTGCAAGACAAACAAGAGAGTCTGCAAAGAAAAGATATAAGAGGTGAAAAGAGGAGGGGCAAAAGGAGGAGGAGAGGTCCCCAAATATATATCTAAAAGTTGAGTAGGTCCTCTGGACGGGTTCTGTTTTGTTGAAAAATGTGTGTCTCTCCTCCAAGAAACTTTTTTTTTTAGTGTGAGGAGTTACAGGTAAACTCAGCCTTATAAGCAATGCCTCCACATGGTGGACAAACAAGTTTAACGATGTCATTAAATTTGTTTAGCTGGATTACTGAGATGCATCAGGACACCCACAACTATCACAAGTGTTTTTGTTTTCATTTCTACATTTTATAACAATGCTATAATAAAAACTGAAATAAAACAATGAAAGTTTTATGTACCATGTTATGGTAGTTTTGTCATTAACTTTTTCCCAAAGAACAATTATGACCATCAGTTTTCATGACATGTGTTTGTACAATGCCCATCTGTGCATTTACTGCACAAGTAGTAAAAAACAATAACACAGACTCTTGTTGTCAATAATTATAGAGGATAACTCTCCCAATCCCACCTTAAACTCACATAGTATGTACTCCTCTAACAGTTTTAAACAAAGCAACTGGACTTCTGTTCTGCAGAAGACGTTTGCACTTTGACCTCAATGACCCCAAAGCATTTATTTAGTGAGCCAGGGGTAAGGGGAGGTAGAATAATCTACATGTGAATTCAGCTTGCACAGCAGAGCATCTCGTACTTTAAAGCTTTGAATAACACACTTTCCAGTTTTGAATGGAAAAAGCTCCTCGGGAGATTTTTTTTGTTGTAAATGTGAGACATGTTATAAAATGACATACTTATAATGGATATTCATTTAATAATTGTCTTATTTTGATCGGTAAAGTAATACCAGTATATACACAGAATGCATTTAGGTTACTTTTCAAGTCTATAAAAAATAGTACAAAATAGTACTGGCAGTGGTAATCAATATGAAAGAACCCTGTTTTATGTATTGTATATATA